GAGGCCTTTTGCTTCAGAGAGAGATGCTATATTTCCTAAGGTTGCTCATTATACAAAACTGCCACAACAAAAGGCAGAGAAGACCTCTGGAATTTGCAAAGCATACAGAAACATGAGAGACCTATGGAAATTATTTCCTAACACTGAGTAAGCACATATTATTATTGTTTATTGGGTGCTTGTATGTGCCAGGTCCAGTGCTAAGTATTTTATATGCATCATCATCTCTATTCCTCTCAACAAACATATGAGAAAACATTAACAAAGTTATGAAAAAATATTTTATAAATTAAGATGCTTAGCAAACAAACCATCGCAACATAGGAGAATCTGAAAACACACAGGAGCATTAGGAGGTCCCTGAAGGGGTGGCCTCCCCCTCCACACTTGTGAGCATTTCTCATTAGGTGGAACGAGAGACTTGAGAAAAGAAATGAGACACAAAGTATAGAGAAAGAAAAAGTGGGCCCAGGGGACCAGCGCTCAGCATACAGATGACCCGCGCCAGCACCGGTCTCTGAGTTCCCTCAGTATTTATTGATCATTACCATCTTGGAAAAGGGGAAGTGGCAGGACAATTGGGTCATAGTAGGGAGAAGGTCAGCAGAAAGACATATGAATAAAGATCTCTGTGACATGAATAAGTTTAAGGAAAAGTGTTGTGCCTTGATGTGCATAGGCAAACATCTTCATAAACATTTTCAGTGCATAAAGAGCAGCATTGCTAGCATGTCCCACCTCCAGCCCTGAGGCGGTTTTCTCCTATCTCAGTAAATAGAACATACAATCTGGTTTTACACCAAGTCCTTCCATTGCCTAGGGACGTTCAGGAGACAGATGCCTTTCTCTATCTCAACTGCCAAGAGGCCTTCCTTCCTCTTATACTAATCCTCCTCAGCACAGACCCTTCACAGGTATCAGGCTGGGGGACGATCAGGTCTTTCCCTTCCCACGAGGCCATATTTCAGACTATCACATGGGGAGAAACCTTGGACAATACCTAGCTTTCCTAGGCAGAGGTATGTGTCCATGGGTACTTGAGATTAACAGAATGGTGATGACTTTTAACCAGCATACTGCCTTCAGGCACTTGTTTAACAAAGCACATCCTGCACAGCCCCAAATCCGTTAAACCTTGAGTCACCACAGCACATGTCTCTTGCAAGGACAGGGTTGGGGGTAGGGTCACAGATTAACAGCATCTCAAATACAGAACAAAATGGAGTCTCTTATGTCTACTTCTTTCTGTATAGACACAGTAACAGTCTGATCTCTCTCTCTTTTCCCCACAGTTCTCAGAGAGGAGCTGTATCTATTAGCTGAATACCATCTGAACTCACTTCATCTGCTATTCCTGCTTTTCCTTCCTGTACTCCTCTGGCCCACATGGTAGGTTATGGATACCTCAAGCTCCTGAACTCACCTGATATAGTTCCAGCCAGCCTCAGAGAATGATTAAGAATCCCTGGATCTAATTGCCAGTTCCATCAAAGAGAATATGATTGGCCGAACTTTGATAATCTACACTGTATATTTGTGTTACAGAGATAGTTTTATGGTAAAATAAATAATAGTAACATGTATTAATATATAAAGAGATCCACTTTTTCATAATTACTTAAAGTAAGTAAAATATTGTGATAACACTTACTGGTCTGTATCTTCCACTAGCCTGTGAGCTCCTCCAGAGCACGGATCCTATCATTTAACAGAATTATAATCATGTATATAATTATAATTATAATCTTGTATATAAGAATTATACAGAATTATAATTATGTATACACATGTATAAGGATTTTCCTGTCTCTAAGATTATTTTTTAAAATACTTAATTTTTGCATAATATTCCAAATTGGGACACTTCTGCAGGTTATTTAATCACTTTTGAATATTTAGACTATTTTCAATTTTTCACTATAAATAACATTGCAATAGTCATCCTTTTCAAAAATCTTAGATACAGATGTGATTATTTACTTTGGATAGCTTCTTAGAAGTGAAACTCTGGGCCGGGTGCGGCGGCTCACACCTGCCTATAATTCCAGCACTTTGAGAGACCAAGATGGGTGGATCACCTGAGGTCAGGAGTACAAGACCAGCCCGGCCAACATGGCAAAACCCCATCTCCACTAAAAATACAAAAGTTAGCCAGACGTGGCAGTGCATGCCTGTAATCCCAGCTACTTGAGAAACTGAGGCAGGAGAATTGCTTGAACCCGGGAGGCAGAGGTTGCAGTGAGCCAAGATCACACCATTGCACTCCAGCCTGGGTGATGATACAGCAAGACTCTGTCTCAAAAAAAAAAAAGTGAAACTCTGGCTATTCCCTTTTTGGAGTTTCATAAATATATTACTAAATTGCTACAGGCCAAAACTGGAAGCACATTCCTCTTGAGAACTGGAACAAGAAAAGGATGCCCATTCTCACCACCCTTATTCAACATAGTGCTGGAAGTCCTAGCCAGGATAATCAGGCAAGAGAAAGAAACAAAGGTATTCAAATAGGAAGAGAGGAAGGTAAACTATCTCTCTTTGCCAACGATATGATTCTATAGCTAGAAAACCCTAAAGACTCTCCCAAAGGCCCCTGGAACTGATAAATGAATTTAGTAAAGTTTCAGGATACACAATCAATGTACAGAAAATCAGTAGCATTTTTATATACCAATAATGTTCTGGCTGAGAATCAAATCAAGAACACAATCCCATTTACAACAGGCACAAAGAAAATGGAATACTCAGGATCACCTAACCAGGGAGGTGAAAGATCTCTGCAAGGAGAACTACAAAACACTACTGAAAGAAATCAGAGACAACACAAATAAATGGAGAAACAGTCCAAGCGCATGGGTTGGAAGAATCAATATAGTTTAAATGGCCATACTATCCAAAGCAATTTACAGATTTCACGCTATTCTTACCAAAATACCAACATCATTTTTCACAGAACTAGAAAAACCTCTTATAAAATTAATTTGGAACCAAAAAAGAGCCTGAATAGTCAAAGCAATCTTAAGGAAAAAGAACAAAGCAAGATTTCAAACAATACTGTAAGGCTAAAGTAATCAAAACAGCATGATAATCATACAAAAACAGACACATAGACCAGTGGAACAGAATAGAGAACGCAGAAATAAAGCCACACACCTAAAACCCTCTGGTCTTCGACAAAATCAACAAAAACAAGCAATACAGAAAGCATTCCCTATTCAATAAATGGTGGTGGGATAACTGGCTAGCCATATGCAGAAGAAAGAAACTGGACCTCCCTACCTCTCACCATATACAAAAATTAAGCCTGATTAAAGATTTAAAAGTAAGACCTCAAACTATAAAACTCCTAGAAAAAAACTAGGAAATACCCTTCTTGACATAGGCTTTGGCAAAGAATTTATAGCTAAGTCCCCAACAGCAATTACAACAAAAATAAAAACTGACAAGTGGGACCTAATTAAACTAAAGAGCTTCTGCACAGCAAAACACACTATCAACAGAGTAAACAGATAGCCTACAGAATGGAAGAAAATATTTGCAAACTATGCATCTGACAAAGGTCTAACATCCAGAATCTACAATGAATTTAAACAAATCAAGAAGAAAAAACAATCCAATTAAAAAATGAGCAAAGGACATGAACACACACTTCTCAAAAGAAGGCATACAAATAGCCAACAAACGTGAAAAAATCCTCAACACCACTAATCATTAGAGAAATGCAAATCAAAACTACAATGAGATGCCATCTCACACCCATCAGAATGGCAATTATTAAGAAAAAAAATCCACATATGGGTTAGGCTATGAAGAAAAGGGAAGGCTTATACTCTGTTGATGGGAATGCTAGTTCAGCCACTATGGAAAGCAGTTTGGAGATTTCTCAAAGAACTTAAAATACAACTACCATTCAATCCAGCAATCCCACTACTGGGTATATACCCGAAGGAAAATAATTCATTCCATCAAAAAGACACAGAGCTGGGCACCACAGCTCATGCCTGTAATCCCAGCACTTGGGAGGCCTAGGCGGGTGGATAGTTTGAGCCCAGGAGTTCTGGACCAGCCTGGGCAACACGGCAAGTCCCCATCTCTACAAAACATACAAAAATTAGCCAGTTGTGGTAGCGCACACCTGTAGTCACAGTTACTTGAAGGCTGAGGCAGGAGGATCAGTTAACCCAGGAAGTTGAGGCGGCAGTGAGCCATGCACGACTGCACTCCAGCCTGGGTGACGCAGCGAAACCCTGTCTCAAGACAAAAAAAAAAAAAAAAAGAACACATGGAATTGTGTGTTCATTGTGGTGCCATTCACGATAGCAAGGACATGAAATCAACCTAAGTGCCCATCAACAGTGGACTGGATGAAGAAAATGTGGCACATATACACCATGGAATATTATGCAGCCATACAAATAAGGAAATTATACTCTTTATAGCAACATGGATGGAGCTGGGGGCCATTATCTTATGCAACCTAATACCAAGAACAGAAAACCAAGCACACATGTTCTCACTTAGGAGCTAAACATTGACTATATGATGGTAAACATGGAAACAAGAGACACTGAATATCATTAGATGAGGAAAGGGGGAGAGGCACAGAGTGGTATGGGCTGAAGAAGCACCTGTTGAGTACTATGCTTACATCCTGTTGGGATCGTTGGGACCCCAAACCTCGACATACTCTAAGGTTTTGCTTTTTGTTTTTTGAAACTGGTGAGATTAAACTTTTTTACCTTTTCTTTTTTTTTAGATGGAATCTCGCTCTGTCGCCCAGGCTGGAGTGCAATGGTGTGATCTCGACTCACTGCAACCTCCGCCTTCAGAGTTCAAGCAATTCTCCTGCCTCAGCCTCCCGAGTAGCTGGGATTACAGGTATGTGCCAGCACGCCTGGCTAATTCTGTATTTTTAATATAGACAGGGTCTCTTCATGTTGGTCAGGTTGGTCTCGAACTCCCGACCTCAGATGATCCGCCCGCCTCGGCCTCTCAAAAGTGCTAGGATTACAGGTGTGAGCCACCACTCCTGGCCATCCTAATGTTTTAAATAGCGATTTATATTTCCTCTTCATGAATTGTCTGTTAAAGCACTTGTGGGCGGAAATTAAGTTTTGTTCTTCTTTCAGTGTGCTTCGGGCCTTAGAAATGGTGTTTGTTACGTAGCTCTCACAAAGCTTTGAATACATATAGATAGAAACCTAGCCGTAATTGTTTAGAATCTTGCGAGAATACGCCACTGCAACCGCACAACTGTGTGCCATTTTAGGATTTACCGAGAATATTCATGAGTATTGGTGCATTTTAATACAACTACTGTGCATTGTTGCTTTCAGCATTTTACTATGCGGAGCAAAGTCTTGAGTGAGGTCTGGGAAAGATAAATGGTGAAAATTTAAGAAATTTCTCGCAGAAACGGAGGAATTCATCTTCCCTAAAGAAAGGATAAACCGACTAAAATTAGTTGGTCCTCCCGTGCACCAGACGGCGAAGCAGCAGGATGTGACGCTGCACGGTAAGTGAGCGACTCGCTGGACTACACTTCCCAGAAGGTTTCTTTGGCCTCCGCACTACGCAATCACCCAGAATGCTCAGCGGCCGAGAACTTCAGGTCCCAGACTGCTGTGCGGCTAAATACGACTCCATCTCCCCCGACCCAAGCGCTTAATGGCCGCTGGCAATCTTGGGGGAGCCAGCTGTTGGACTATGCCCCGCTGCCAGGAAACAGGCGCCAGAAGGTTCTCCAACAAGATCCCGCCTTCCTAAGACGGTAAAGGCGTTCACAGGTCGGGAAGGGGCGGTGGGAGTAGCGGGACAGCGCTGAGCATTGCTCGTGAACTGTGGGTCGGCCTGCGAAGAGGCCCAGTTTCGTGGCACCACTGTGGCGCCCGCACTGGAAGGTTGTCTTGTGACCGAGCGAAAACTACAATTCCCAGCATTCCTGCGGTGCCAGAACTACCTTGCCCGAAAGCCTGTGCGAGATTTACCCCGTCTTCCGCCTCCCGCCCGCCGGAAAACTCTGAGGCCATGAATAGTCGCCAGGCTTGGCGGCTCTTGCTCTCCCAAGGCAGAGGGGATCGTTGGGTTTCAAGCCCCCGCAGGCATTTCTCGCCGGCCCTGCGGAGAGGTGAGGCAAGGCGTCGTGTGATAGATGTCTGAGTGCTCTCTAGGGAGACGATGCCCGTGGGTCGCGCCTGCTCGAGCGAACGGGAAGAGAAGGTGCCACACCCTCCTCCCCGATTCACGCCTTGTGCTGGCGACACAGCTGTCTGCTGCCCCGACTTGCCCAGCTCGCCCCAAGGGGCGAGGACTGAGGAAATCAGTGCCTTTCTGTTCTTAAAGCGAACCTTTGAAGGCCAGGGCTTCGCGCCTGGCTTCTTTCTCAGCCCTTGTGTCCCTTTTTTGGTGACAAGAGGCTAGTAATCTGGTAGGTTTGTCTGGAGGCAGCGTAAGGTAATCTGTGCTTGAGGGTGTCCTGATTTCTTTTGTGGCCTGATCTTTAGATTTTGGTTTTTTTAGGTGCTGGCCTCGAGCCCAAGTTTTTGGTAGACAGCATCATAAATTTCAGATCACGTCTGCCTTATTCTCGCTGGAATTCTCAGTACTTTTCAGTCACATTGTAGACTTTGGGAAAAAAAGTGAATACTGGAACCTACAAGTTTCCAACCGGTTGGCACCCCTGTTAACAGAGTGTCCTGAAGACATCTAACTTTATTCCGAGAAACGTTTCTAGGGCTAGGTTTTTCTTGTTGTCGTTTTTTACCCCCCGTTTTTAAACTTCCCTCCTAGTTTTTAAACCGTTTTAAGGTTGTCCACAAAATAGGCGAATAGGCACCTCTTATCAACCTTAGCATTCTCTGTTCACCTTCTTGAATCTTCAGTGCCAGGTACACTGAGCCAGTCGGTACCCAAACACTTCCACGCTGTTATTTATGCTCCGTATTGTTACTTGTGCTGTTTTGCTCATTGTTTAATTTTAATCCACACCAGTAACAGCTGCAGTCAAAACTGCAGTTGTTGATCATCCGTCTGTAAGATTGCTCTTTAGCTGCCAGGATCATTCACAAGGTCTCTTTTGTTAGGTATTTGGGTGTTTAGCATAAATACACATTATGATGGATTTTACAAAAAGGAGGTAGCACTTTTGAATTCCGGGAAATCATCCAACTTTCATCTTTGTTGACTTTTACAGGTGTGCTTCACATATCCAAATGAAAACAAAATTAAATGTTTTTAGAGAATGAACTTTGAAGTGCATATCATAATGCGAAATACATGACCATAAGTAAATGTTAATGTTTTAACATAAAAGTTTTCCCACTTAAGTCTGAGTGTTCTTGGAGAAACTTTAAATCTCTTCTTACAACTAGTAGGATTTGTGTCCTTCCTCACTAAACAAATATTGAATGTTTATTGTGTACAAGTAGTTTAAACTTGCCTAATAATGTCAATAATCAGGGGATTTGAAAACCTTGACCTCTGACCAATGGAAGGACCTTAGTTATTATGATGCAACTAGTGTAGCACGTTAGTAGACCAGCATGTAAGAATATATGCTGTAATGCCTGTTCTTTTGAGTTCCTGACAGAAAAGTAACTGACTATACACTGAAGTGTTTCAGCTGTAAAATTAGCAGTAAATTCATATAAAACTTGCAATTTAAATTTAGTGGGACAACATTTTACATATTTGTTTGTTTGTTTGTTTGTTTGTTTGTTTCAAAAGTAAAATTTGACCTTTTCCAGCAAAGAGGAGTTTGGTGCAAGATAGGCCAGAGTTCCAATCCGCAATCTATGACTTAGTAGTTTTGCCAAACTGGTTAAACCTTTAAACCCTTGAGTTTGTATCTCACTATTACAAACAAACAAATCCGTAAGATATAGCTATCAAAGAATCAAAAGTAGTAACAATGAAAGGAAAGGTTTGGAGTTTTGTACAGATGTTTAAGCCTGTACAAAACTTTTCAAGCTATTAAAGATCTGTTGTTCCACTATGAGCTAGAAACACTGATTCTGGGCACTTCATTTCCCCTACCTATTAATATGGCTGCGAAGACTTATTTTTTTATTTATTTTATTTTATTTTTTTTTTTTGAGACAGGGTCTCTGTCACTCAGTCTCGTGTGCCTTGGTGCCATCTCGGCTCACTGCAACCTCTGCCTCCCAGGCTCAGGTGATCCTCCCACTTCAGCCTCTCAAGTAGCTGGGACTACAGGCACATGCCACCGTGCCCAGCTAGTTTTTGTAATTTTTGTAGGGACAGGATCTTGCCATGTTGCCCAGGCTGATCTCGAACTCCTGGGCTCAAGCGATCCGCCTGCCTTGGCCTCCCAGCTGCTAGGATTACAGGCATAAGCCACTGCACCTGGCCTGTAAAGACATTCTTAATGAGCGCTTATGCATTGAACTGCTCATGACCAGTTGGAATAGTGATTATGAAACCCTACTATGAATATCCAATGGTTTTTCCAGTTGCTTATGGCTTCCAAAGTGGAGTGAAACCCAAAGTTCTACTGCCAGTGGGTGTCAATACCTACCTCATAGGATTGGGAGGACTAAGCAAAGTATTATGTGAATATCTTAGCACATTTAAGGAATAATGTTTTACATATCCTTCTGCATTCTCAGCTCTCCTTAGCCCCATAATAAATAGAAGCCAAGAGAATAGCAAAGGCAGCCCGTGCCTAGATTTTGCTGATTTCATTCATCCTGTCTGGATAACTTCTTTAATATTTAATGTAGCTGTACCATCATCCAAATAGCCATTCTCGGTCCTTTATTCTCAAGGAGGGCCAAATGCGTCTCCTTTGTATTATTCATCATTGTGTATACATAATGCCAAGCACAGTGCCTTTCATTCAGCAAGTATCTATGGAGCATCCAGATTTGTGTAGGCATTGGGGATTCAGTAGTGAGCAAGAACAAATGTGGTCCCTGCTCTCAAGAACTGTATAGTTTAGTGCAGGGGTTGACAAACTTTTTCTATAAAAAGCCCAATAAATATTTCAGGCTTTGTAGGCTGTAAGGTCAGTCACAACTATTTGCTTTGTAGCATGAAAGTAGCCATAGATTAATCCATAAATGGATGAGCTGTGTTCTAATAAAACTATCTAGTTCTAATGAATAAAACTAGAAAAACAGGTGGTGGTAGTCTACAGGCTATAGTTGGCTGACCACTGGTCTCTTGGGGAGACAACTGAGAGTCACATAAATGTGTAAATTGTGAGAGGGTTTGCAAAAGAATCCTATGCAGTACTATGAAAAACCATCACAAGAGAGACTTAACCCAAAGGACTCGTCAGGCTTTCCAGAGGAAGAAACATTCAGACTGAGCTCTGAAGGATAAACATGAGCAGGCAAAGAAAAAGAGAGCTTTCTGAACAGGGCAGGGGCTGGGCAAAGGCCCTGAGAAGGTAAAGCACGTGGCATGTTTGTGGAATTAAAATCAAAGAGCCCTTGAAAGCAGAGGACCAGAGAGAGCATAGCAGGACATGAGACGAGCTACACCCTACAAAGATTTATTGGCTTGTTAAGGTATTTGGTCTCTATCCCAAATTTAGTAGGAAGCTGCTCTTTGTGTAAGGTATTCAGAGTGTTTGTTGACTAAGTCAGAGGAACTGTACTAATACGCCTAGCTATGAGACCATAAGATCTTGGACTAATTACAGACAGTCCTCAACTTAAGATAGTTTAACTTAAAATTTTTCGACTTTATCATGGTGCAAAAACAGTATGCATTCAGTAGAAACTGTACTTTGAATTTTGATCCTTTCCTAATCTAACAATAATGCATTGGCAGGGGCAGCAAGCCACAGCTCCCCCAGTTAGCCATGGATCACAAGGGCAAATAACCAATACTTAGTATTGCCAGGGTTTTTTGGGTTTTGTTTTTGCATCCCATAATGTTTACAAAATGCCCATTTGGGTGTCTACATGAAATATTCAACACTTTATTGTAAAATAGGTTTTGTGTTAGATGATTTTGGCCAACTATAAGCTAATGTAAGTGTTCTTGGCGTGCTTGAGGTGAGCCCAGCTAAGCTGTGATGTTCAGCAGGTTAGGTGTATTAAATGCATTTTCAGCTCAGGATATTTTCAATTTATGATGGATTTAATGGGACATAACCCTTTTATAAGCTGAGGAGCATCCATACTTAGCCCTGAGCCTCAATTTACCTCATCCATAAAATGAGAATTTTAAGGATGGGGTAATAGATGTGAAAACAGTAAAATATTATATAAATGTTATTACTGATTTTTTTTCTAAATCCAAATAAACTTCTAATCAGGGATATGTAACTAAGAGTACCATCACTACTCCTAATGCAGTTGTTATTGAAATTACTGAAATCTGCCCCTCTTTCCTCTAATTTTTCTTTTTCTCTCCTACCTTAGGTCTGATATTTACACACAAAGGCATGTTTCTTTACCCTACTAGATGACATTCAAGTGAAAAAGATTACTGACCAGTGTACCAATATGTGTGTTTTAAAACATTGCTCCACTTTTATTTACAGCTACTTGCTTTTATCTCTTCAGTTAAATAGAATTTTTTGGAGTATTTTAATAAATCTTTTATCATTTGAATTTAGAGTTTATTGTTAGGTTTTTTTAAAAAACAATATCTCTTTCCTGCCTTCTAGTCTATAAAATCAGTGAGAACATCATTCATGTCTGGTTTTGCTTATCATTTTACCCCTGTGCCTGGCACAAGTTCTAGCACTCAATAAATATTCATTAGGCTAGAAGGATATAAAGAAGGAATCACATTTGTTCTACACAGTACTGGTGGAAAAATAATGCCTGAAGTTGCAGTCTTTTTTTTTTCTTTCTTTTTTTTTTTTTTTGAGACAGAGTCTCGCTCTGTTGCCCAGGCTGGAGTGCAGTGGCGTGATCTCAGCTCACTGCAAGCTCCACCTCCCAGGTTCACGCCATTCTCCTGCCTCAGCCTCCCTAGTAGCTGGGACTACAGGCGCCTGCCACCATGCCTGGCTAATTTTTTTGTATTTTTAGTAGAGACGGGGTTTCACCGTGTTAGCCAGGATGGTCTCCATCTCCTGACCTCGTAATCCCCTGACCTTGGCCTCCCAAAGTGCTGGGATTACAGGTGTGAGCCACCGCACCCGGCCTGCAGTCTTTTAAGTATCTAGATATTTTAAGTGGCTTAGGATAAATAAGAGAAACAGCATGGAGTGTAAGATTTGAAGTCAGAAGAATCTGAGCCTGAATCCTAATTCTACCATTGGCTCTGTAAAGGTAACTCCTTTACCTTTCCTAGAAGTTGTTTATGGGCAGAGTACCTTATAATAAATTCATCAGCAATATACAGAAAAGGTCTTTACTGTGTCTAGGTTAAAACTTGGGGAATTTATTGAAATAGGACAAGAAGGGTTATTTCACAAATGAGAATTTTTTCTTAGGGTTCTTATGTTGATACCAGTAAATATGCCCATGATTTCAAATCAAATTCATTGATTGAATCAACAGTAAAACTTTGTGGCCCAACTATGTGCCAAAGCACTGTTCTAGGTGCTAAAGATACAGTAGTGAAAACCACAGTCAAAGCATCATGGAACTTCCATTCTGATCCAGAGATACAAACAGCAAACAAGATAATTTCATATTGGAGCTGAGAACTATGTAGGAAATAAACTGTGGATATATAAGTGAGTGGGAGTATGGAAAGCTACTTTAAACAGGGATGTAAGTGTAAAAAATTTTCATAGCTCTTGAAAGACTGAGCACAGAGAAGAATTGAATTGTGTAGTTTCTGCTTTACAGTAAGTAGAGCTGAGGTGGTGATATCCAAAGCATTTGATGTGTTTTATTACAAGTTTATACTAACTCTTAACATTCCTGAATACCAAAGGAGGGAAAAGAAACATTTATTGAATGTTTAGTATGTACAGAAAAAAGTCAAAGACTTTTCAGATAAAAGAGAGGCTCAGAGGAGTCAATTAACTTGGGTGAGATGACAAAACTAGAAGAGCTGGAACTATATCATAAATGGATGGGGAAAATGCTTTGTAAGCTAAAGTAGGAAACCTTTATCAGTTACTATAAGAGAAAAAAAATGTCTTCTCTTTTCAGACTTCTTCACCACCACAACCAAGGAGGGATATGATAGGCGGCCAGTGGATATAACTCCTTTAGAACAAAGGAAATTAACTTTTGATACCCATGCATTAGTTCAGGACTTGGAAACTCATGGTAAGAAACATGGATACCTCCTGAAAGAAGAAAATTAATAGCACTCATAATAATTGCCTAGTCAAGACAGTATCACTGTTATGAACAATTAAGAGTATTTAAATGGACAATCCAATGAAATATTTTATAGTCACTAAAAATGATACTATTTGAGAAATATTTACTGATATGAGGAATGTTTAAGATATGTTAATTGAAAAAAGCATTGAAATATGTACAGAATGATTCCAATTAAGTGAAAAAGAAACTAGTTTCTAGGCTAATACTAAAGTCCATGTGGAAGTACAAATGTTTGAGATTAAAAAATCGGAAAATAAGCACAAAAAATTACCTGATATCAAAACAGTAATTTAAATTATGTGATATTAAAGGAATAGACTAATAGAACAAAATAGTATTCAGAGACACAGACATGAATTTAATGTGATGAAGGCATTACAAATTAGGGAAAGGAAGGACTATTTAATAAATGAGATAATAAATGACTAGCCACTGGGAAAAAATATATTAGATCCCCTTACTGAAAACTAAATTTCAGATAGATGAAAAGCTAAATAAATGTAAAAGAATAAGCAGTTTTATAGAAAAAAAAGGGGGCAAATGCTATAAACAAGCATAACACAGAAAAATAAATGTAAATAACAAAAAGTATATGTAATGCTTAACCTCTCTACCAACCAAGGAAATGCAAATTTAAGTAACATTAAAATAACAATGTAATACAATTTTTTTTGCCAATTACTCAAAATAAAAAGTCATATCTAGTGTTAATGTAGATGTGGGGAGATACAGAATGGGAATTAAAATTGTAGAGTACTTTTGGGGAGAGTAATTTAGCATTATCTGTCAATTTTTAAATTGTAACCATTATTTTAAAAAGAGTATAACAATTTAAATGTTGAGGAGTTACTCTCGCTGTTTATTTTGATAAGGATATATACACTTTAAAATACCTATTTGCTGCCTACAGGATTTGACAAAACACAAGCAGAAACAATTGTATCAGCATTAACTACTTTATCAAATGTCAGCCTGGATACTATCTATAAAGAGATGGTCACTCAAGCTCAACAGGTAATACACTGATTACTACCGCTTCTGATACTTTCATTAGACAGTCATTTCATAACTACGTCTCTGTCTACCTAGTGACCTTCCAAACACGCTCGTATCTTCCTTGTTCTCTCTAAAGGGACCACACACACACAAAAAAAAAACACTGAATAAAGTCAATATTTAGAGAGACTGAATAGTTAGAATAGTTGTAATAATGTTGTGGTAACAGAGATGGTATTTTGCCAAATCTTTGATGGGATGAGATCATTATATTGTATTATTCATGAGTGGTGGTAGATTGTTAGTGAAACAACTTTTTCCCTCAAGAAAGCTCACCACAGAAGAGCTAATCTTTCTATATATTAAGTATGTTTTATTGCTGCTATACATACATATTGGTTAATTTTCACAGACATAGCTGGAAAGGACTTACATGACTGAGAAGGACTTTATAAATTCCCTAAGACGCCTTAATTTGACTGAATATAAAAATCCTAAAGTCAAATATAAGAATTTAACATGTAAGCGGCACAATGCTGTGTATTTTTCATATATTATTTAATCTCTAACAACCTTGAAAAGTAAGCAGAATTCTATTTGGCCACTGAAGACAGGCTTAGAGAGACTGAGTAATTTACAGGAGTTTTCACTGTGGTGATATGGACAAAAAGCAATAATTTTACATAAAGGACTGAATAAATGAACTTAACTAGAATAATTTCATACTTGATATGAAACTAAGTCAGCTAGCAGGATGGGGGGAGAAAAAGTAATAAAGTCTTCTTATTCTGAGAATTTGATTATATTGTGATTCTGATTCAAATCTGAATATTCTCTGATGGCTCCATAGTAGTTACAAAAATCACACTTTTAATATATTTGGCTACTTAACAATAGATTATGTCTTTACATTTAAAGTTGTTAAAGATGGACACCTGTGCAGTTTTGTAGGCTTTTTGAGTCTGTATTTAAAGAATGAGGTAAAAAGAAGCTCTTAAGAGCCACATTAAGGCCGGGTGTAGTGGCTCACGCTTGTAATCCCAGCACTTTGGGAGGCTGAGGTGAGCAGATCACTTTAGATCAGAAGTTCGAGGCCAACATGGCAAAACCCTGTCTCTACTAAAAATACAGAAAAAAATTAGCCACGCATGATGGTGGGTGCCTGTGGTCCAAGCTACTCAGGAGGCTAAGGCATGAGAATTGCTCGAACCCAGGAAGCTGCAGTGAGCCAAGATCATGCCAGTACACTCCAGCCTGAGTGACCGAGCAAGGCTCTATCTCAAGAAAGCCACAATACAATCCCTTATTTTCAGGTTCAGACTCCACAAGCATGAAGTCTGTAATTAGCTTTCCAACTTTTGCCTATGTAATAGGCAAAAATCTCAGTAATAAGAATACATTATTTTTAATGTCATATAATTCCTTTATAGTGATATTTGGGGCAAACAGGACTGCCAGCCCTTAGAGGCCACATCTGTGTGACTTCTGAATTAATTCTCATAAATATGTCACACAGAATTGAATAAAATGAACAACCCTCCTGAGTAATATATGAGGGTCAGAAAAGGCATGCATCAGCAATGTCTGTTGTACACAGTTAAAAACTTTTATATAAGAAGTCCAAACTTCCTCCACATTAATACATTAGCATTAGACTATCGTGCTTCAGTCATTAGATCTCTGTCCCATCGGTAATAATAATAGTTAACATTTCAGTGATAACCATAGGCCAAGTACTATCTTAAGCATTATACATACAAAATCTCATTTAATCCTCAGAACAACTCTTTAAGGTGTACCAGGTACTGTTACTATTTCCATTTTACCAATGAGGAGACCAGAGAAGTTAAATGACTTGCTAGCATCTCACAGTAAATGGCAGAGTTTGGATTCAAAGCTCGACAGCCTGACTCCAGAACTCATACTGTTTTTTGGGGGGGCTTTCTTGTTTTATTTCTAAACCGTTATACAGAGTCCTTAATAAGGTTGTACCTCATCTGCTTTTTCTTTTGGTAAAGGATAGATAAATTAGCAAGCTACATGATTTTAAGAAGTGTAGTGCTACAGGTTGAATATCCCTTATCTGAAATGCTTGAGACCAGAAGTGTTTTAGATTTCAGATTTTTTATTTTGGAATATTTCCTTTACACTTACCAGTTGCACATCCCAAATCTGAAATCCAGAATACTCCAATGCACATTTCCTTTGAGTGTCATGTCGGCACTCAAAAAGTTGCGGATTTTGGATTTCGGATTTTTGGATTAGGGATATTCAACCTGCAACAGTTATATTTTCTTTGTAAGACTGTCTTAAATCATTTCTACAAAATTGTCCTCCCTAATGAAGCAAAAGCTTATAGATCTATCAGGTAAATGCTACCTTTTCTTTCACATATTCTTTGTAGTGCCAAATATAGGGAAGATACCCAGGAATTTAAACAAAATTGGTTATGTTGTGCTGACAAAGGGCAATTATTTTAACTACATATCTATTTTGTTTTACTATCTGACTTCTGAGTCGTATCCAATACCATGGAATTTTCCAGTGGTAGAAAATCTCAAAATCAAAGTAATAAGAGATAAAACCCTTTCCATTTGGTTATTCAAAAAACAAGAACAAAACATTATTGTTTTGAGGAACTCTTAGGGTCTAAGGAAGCATTTTATTGAGATTCTTTTCATTCAAAGACTTACACATTTCTCTCCCCTAGGAAATACCTTTTTCTTCCTTGAATCTTTTTCTTTTCATATTGATATTTCAGATATGTAAGTTTCATATTTACTTAACCAGTCAGCATTATACCTTGTAGCATGTTAACAAATTCATTTAAATTTCATGAAAAACAATTCCATAAATAAAAGATGGCTTTCTGTGGATCACTAGGTTATTTTTTTTTTGTTTTCTAGGAAATAACAGTACAACAGCTAATGGCTCATTTGGATTCTATCAGGAAAGACATGGTCATCCTAGAGAAAAGTGAATTCGCAAATCTGAGAGCAGAGAATGAGGTGATGCAAATTTTAATTTATTACTCATAAAATAACTGATCTCATAATAAGCATCCTACTTAGTGAATAAGTTAATAAGACCAAGTAATAATTCCATGTGGTTAGTAAACAATAAGTTTTTAGATTTAAAAAGTACTATTTGTTTAACCATACCTAATCTTTTTCTATATAAATCATAGTGCTTTGCATACTGACGAGAATGAGTTACATTTTATACATATAAAACCACATAAAACAGAAAATCTTTGAGCTATGTATATAAAATTTCTATATAATGGTTTCAGAGCTGAGAGTAATGTGGCATTTTCTATTTTATTTAATCCTGTACTAAATGTCTTTGTGACTTAAGAGAAAAGTGTATTTCTGTAATTAAGTCAGAATTTTAAGTTATGTTATCCACTGTAGCTTTTTAAATTTAGAAAATCAATTTTTAAAAGTATAATACAAAAACAAATGCATTTTGCTCATAACAATTATTTTCTGAATACAGTGGCTTACTAGTTTCTTTTGAAGATTTTTTTCCTTATCAATTGTGTATTAGAAATCCATAGATTGTCCAAATTTTGGTAATCTAGGGTTTCAGATTTTTTAAATCATAATATAGATTTGGTTTAATGCTAATTACATGTGATCTTTCCTGTACCTAGAAAATGAAAATTGAATTAGACCAAGTTAAGCAACAACTAATGGTAAGTGAATTTGTTTTCTAGCTGTTAATTTCAGAACAAATATTCATAATAAGATAATTTTTTAAATATCTTTATTTTCTTTAAAGCATGAAACCAGTCGAATCAGAGCAGATAATAAACTGGATATCAACCTAGAAAGGAGCAGAGTAACAGATATGGTATTGTGCTTTTAAATGTACTTTCTTGGTTACTTACTCCTTTTTAATTTTAGTCTTTTTTTTTTTAACTTCCTGCTGCTTCATATCCTATAGTTTACAGATCAAGAAAAGCAACTTATGGAAACAACTACAGAATTTACAAAAAAGGTAAGGTAATATGTAAAAATGTCTCTTTTGTACAGTTCTTGTGCCTTGTATAACTGCTTTTATGTGTACCAGTTTATAAGTTTGGACTTTTAAAAACTAGCCCTGTAGAATCTCTGGCTTCCTCATAACTATTATAGTTAGCCAGCACTTCCAGGGAACCTGGCACCAAGTAGATCGTCATCCATGAGCCATGACCTTGAAGTAAGAATCAAGCTTTCCATATAGTGTGCCTTTTTAAACTAAATTACTTCTATAATAGAAAATAACTATTTTTTGGGCTAGGCACAGTAGCTCACACCTGTTAATCCTGCACTTTGGGAGGCTGAGGCAGGAGTTCAAGACCAGTCTGGGAAATAGAGCAAGACCCTGTCTCAAAAAAAAAAAAAAAAAAGAACTATTTTTTAAAAGACAAAGATTCACTATTGGTATTTCATAATTGGTACTTAAATGAGTGCCTAGGTTCAGTTAAATAATTATCTTAAGGTTTTAAAAAAGCTATATATTAATAATATATAAACACTCATATTTAGTGTTTATTAATGTGCCAGATACCATTTTACATGCTTTACTTATATCTGTTACATCTGTCAATTAACTTAATATTCATATCAGTTTGTGTGATGTAGGCACTATTATTCCCATTTAAACAATTTGGAAAATGAAGCACAGAGGGGTTAAGGTCCCACAGTTAATAAGTGATGTCACTAGGGAAAGAACCTGGATTCCAAATCCCTAACTTGGAAGTACTGTTCTCCTTCTCAGTAATGCTACAATGTAATCATGACTTCATCTCTGTGGCTTGAGTAAAACCCAGCTTTCTGACTCAGCTTTGTCCTTTTCTTAAAAGTTCAAAGCCATTTGTCCACATTCTAACAGAAAATATATCACTCTTGCTTATAATTTAATAGAAGAGAAGGTCACATTTGTTCTTTCAAAGATCTTACTGTCTTCCCTTACTTCTTGGCCAGATAAAGGAGACAAGCAACGAAATCATCTTATATATTTAGGTATCAAATATGTTATTATGAGGGTTTTAGAATATGCCCAGTATGTGATACTCCTAAAAGATGATCTCCAAATATGAAAGTAGAAGGAATGTAATTCATCAGTTTATAGTGTTTTTTTATAATTTTTTTTGATACTTTAAGTTCTAGGGTACATGTGCACAACATGCAAGTTTGATACATAGGTATACATGTGCCATGTTGGTTTGCTACACCCGTCAACTCATCATTTACCTTAGGTATTTCTCCTAATGCTATCCCTCCCTCAACCCCTCACTCCCCAACAGGCCCCACTGTGTAATGTTCCTGTATCCAAGTGATCTCATTGTTCATTTCCCACCTATGAGTGAGAACTTGTGGTGTTTGGTTTTCTGTCCTCGTGATAGTTTGTTGAGAATGATGGTTTCCAGCTTCATCCGTGGCCCTGCAAAGGACGTGAACTCATCCTTTTTTATGGCTGCATAGTATTCCATGGTGTTTATGTGCCACATTTTCTTAAACCAGTCTGTCATTGATGGACATTTGGGTTGGTTCCAAGTCTTTGCTATTGTGAATAGTGCCGCAGTAAACATATATGTGTATGTGTGTTTATAGCAGCAAGATTTATAATCCTTTGGGTATATACCCAGTAATGGGATGGCTGGGTCAAATGGTATTTCTAGTTCTAGATCCTTGAGGAATCACCACACTGTCTTCCACAATGGTTGAACTAGTTTATAGTCCCACCAACAGTGTAAAAGTGTTCCTATTTCTCCACATCCTCTGCAGCACCTGTTGTTTCCTGACTTTTTAATAATTGCCATTCTAACTGGCGTGAGATGGTATCTCATTGTAGTTTTGATTTGCATGTCTCTGATGGCCAGTGATGATGAGCATTTTTTCATGTGTCTGTTGGCTACATAGATGTCTTCTTTTGTGAAGTGTCTGTTCATATCCTTTGCCCACTTTTTGATGGGGTTGTTCTTTTCTTGTAAATTTGTTTGAGTTCTTTGTAGATTCTGGATATCAGCCCTTTGTCAGAAGGGTAGATTGCAAAAATTTTCTTCCATTCTGTAGGTTGCGCGTTCACTCTAATGGTAGTTTCTTTTGCTATGCAGAAGCTCTTTAGTTTAATTAGATCCCATTTGTCAATTTTGGCTTTTGTTGCCATTGCTTTTAGTGTTTTAGAGACGCATAGGCATGCGGCCAAGGACTTCCCTG